GGCGATTAAGATAATGGTGAGCTGACTGCGGTTAACTGAGCAGGATTTACAGGCTACGACTTATAGAGCTATTAGATTAGATTTAAACATCTCGTTAAATCACATTAAATTGTCCTTCAAAAGCTGGAATTATGATCTAAAGAGAAAAACAGAGCAATACTTATACAGCTACAGCTAAAGGTGTAGCTTAAGCACAACCAATTTTCTTGAAAGACTGCTACAGCATTCTCATGGTTCACATGCACACAAGCAGAGACTGGAATTATCTACTTGTATCTGCGCTGCCACCATAGACTTTGTCCCAAAGGCATTACATAAACATGACATGTGCGTTAAAAGCTTCGAACACTATCGTTAAGAATATCTTTGACTATCAGGAGATAGTAACAGTGGTAAAAGCAACTAATAAAGGAAACATAACTGTGATTAAGTGCCTTGGTAGGTACGTATATTTTCGCTTAGTGCAGAATTGATAGATAAAGCATTTACAGCGAGATCTACTACAAAGTTTGGGGGAAGTGTAATTTGATTTATCACGAAATAAACCAATAATCGTCAAGTGTAAATGCAACTTTCCTAATGATGAAGTTTGCAATCATCGCTTTCCATAGGAGTGGCGAGTAAAAAATGGATTACTTACATAGTAATATGAAAAGGAAACTAAGAGATAAGATAGGCAGAAACCTATGGAAATTTAACAATTAGAAGAAGTACTTAGTCCAAGCAATGCCACTATCTAAACACCATAAATAACACCAATAATAATCACCATTATATTCATTATTATTTCTTAAAAAAACAATCTCGCTCCTTTTAGTTAGAAAGTCGCAGTTATATTTCGAAGCGCACGCGCACGTCTTATTCATATTCAATTAGACAGTAGCGGAAACCATTCTTCCTCCGAGCCATATAGAGCAAGGCGCGTCCCTTAGTGTTGAGGCAACATCAATTTATATCAGACAACACCAGCAGTCAATTAAACCGTGATTCTGACCGAAGAACTGGTATTTTTTGCTTTCAACAGCACATCAGCTACATTTTATTGCAAAATCGACTGCAATACCAGTACATAAGATGCCACAGTGTATAGCTTGATGTGCTATCGTCTCTACGTTAAAAACGATTGCGCAGTGATCGTTTATCATATCATCCTGATAACACGTGGTTCTTTAACAAGACAACATAATTAGGTGGAAGTCCAAACACTTCAACAAGCAATTTTACGGAATCTTGAAAAAGTGGTACGTAATAGTAACAAGTGGATAGGGCACATAGTACGCAGAACTGACGGCTGTTGAGGCAGCAAGGTTCTGGAGTGGAGGCCACGTACTGGTGGACCGACGATCTCATAAAGGTAGCAGGAAGGCGCTGGATTCAGGCCGCCACCAACCGGCCATTGTGAAAATCATAAGGGGATGCCTATGTTCAGCAGTGGACGTCCTATGGCTGAAATGATGATGATGATGAATAGTAACAAGGATGAAAATGGCAACTGTCAAAGGTCCTCTAAGGGCCCTATCTCATTAGGTACGGCACAATGGTAGCGTCACTAAGTCGCGACACAGTCGTCTTTAACTTCTAAATTGTAGCAACAGTTTCGTTTGCTGGCAACAAATCAGTTTGGCAATCAAGCTCATAGTCATAACAGATAACCGTTGCATTTTGTTTGGTGGCTGTGGTGTCAAATATCAAAAATAATATTTATTTGTCTGGGCTAATTTTAGTAACTTGCAAATCGTCAATAAAATTGCTCTTAACATTTCTCATTATTTTTTTTGTTCTACCAGAGCGCTTCGAGACAAATATTTGGCTCTAGGAGATAGGGCTCTTAGGATATTCAATTAAAACCCTGCTGAATACAAGAATACGCATCATCATTGCAAAGTCACTAAATCGTCAAATCATTTTCATTGCTTGCTTTTAAAAACCATTTAGCTTTTCACATATCCGTGTCAAAATTCGCTTTAGCTAGGATGACTTAATTTCACAAATGAACCCTTTTCCCACAAAATAAGGGACATAATTGTATGTTATTTGCTTATCATAAAATTATAGGTGCCGAAGTTGCTAATTAGCCGTTACTATACAGAATCATGCTCATTTTTGTGCCTTGAAATGGCAAGGGCATAAAAAGCTCTTTCAAAAGGGTAAAATGTAGTTCATAAATGTGTTCACTATTAATTAAGTTGGGATCCTCTCAACGAGTCCGACTACAAACCTTTAAAACTAGTAATGTTGAAACGTCGATAGTCCAATAAATATCGACTACTTAATGGATTCAAGAATGAAATACGATTATTCGTTTTGAATTTTTAAAGATAAGTAAGTACCTATTTATATTATAAGAGTACGTTTTATTGTTGATTGGTTACGGTACAGTAATTGAAATAACTTCTTCAATTTTTGGTAAAATCAACTTATGTTGAATGATACAATAAACAGTGATATTAAAATAAAATAAACTGAATTACTTCTGTATATTAACACATGATCAGACCCAAGAAAGTAAAAATAAGTACATAAATAAATAGAGTTAACTACTTATCTTAATCGTTTACGTATTTTTAAATAAATACACACATGAATTATTAACTTATTTAATAGGTATATTTTTTATTCAAAAGGTAGTTAAAGTTGGACGATATTGGAAATTTAAATATAAAGGACCGAAATAACAAAATGATTTTTATCACAAAAGGTTAAAGTGACCTATTTACGCCATTATATTTAAAAGCTTAAGTAGGAGCAATCAAAATTGTACTGCTTCAGATCGTATCCTTTAAAACACATTATAGGCTAGGTGTAGTTAGTAAGGCCGACAGCTGAATAACCTTCCAAAAAACGACGAGGTAAATTAATGGATTTTGAACCTCATGTGTATTTATTAAAGTTCAAAATTCGTCGAGGAATTTTAAGGTTTTTTGATATAATATCCATGTTCTGGTGTCAGCAAATTAATTTACTTGAAAAGGCACGATAAGTATCCCTTCAAGACTATCAATTAATTACAACTTATCAATAAATAATTGAACTCTATACCGCCATTAAAGATTAACGTGTCTCCACTTGCACGCATGGCCATCAACGGGGGCAGATATTAAATATTTAATTTAATTTTCAAACCTTAAGTGGGTAATTTGGTTAAGCGAAAAAGAAACAGTTTTTTAAACACGCAAGAAATTAAAAAGAACTTTTTAGTTGTGTTATTTACAAGGTAAAACTACATTTTCCCATGGCGTGACCATCGTTTTTGAGGTAATATTTTATAACCTAATAAGTGAATTTAGTAATTAGTCACTGATTAAATTAAAAACCAACAACTTAATTTGAAATTGATTGGAACTTACACAAATTATATCGATGTTATTAATTTGTGTGTGAGAGAAACAATTAAATAAAAAAATATTATTATAAAAATCAAGATCATTCACAAATAGCAAAAACTTAGAATAACATAAGAGCAGTTAGAAATCTTGAAATAAAATCAATAGCCATGTATAGTATAGTCGAGTAAAAAGATTTAAGGGGGTTAACATGAGCAAGCTATAGCCACAAATGGATTTATCTTCTGAAAAAGGCCATTAAATAAAAAGTTTTCGTTTAATTGGCCTTTTCAATATACTTCTTATCTGCAAAATTTTACCTATATTAGAATCTCTTAGATTTAAAAAAGTTGTTATGGTCGAAGTGGCCATTTTAGGATCAGATTTATTCTAAAGATAGTAGAAAAAGATACTCAATACATTTTAATATGTATTAGTTAAATAGATTTTCCTAACGCGAGCTCCACTTTCTTTATAAATTTTATCTTATTTCGAAGTAGGTACTTTCTACTCGGAGTTTCCCTGCGTGATCGAATCAGAAATGAGGAGATCTGAACTCGGAGGACCGACGATCTAGTGAAGGTCGCGGAAACACCTGGATGCGAGAAGCACACTGGACCGGTCGTTGTAGAAATCCTTAGTCCAGCCGTGGATCTCAATTAGTTAAAATTGAAACGAACGAACCTAAGTAGTAAGTTTAGTTAGTAGCAGTAAGTACTTATTATTATTCTGTGGTAGTAGTAACGTAGTTAGCTAGCTACCTCTGAGTGAGGAAGAACAAAAAAACATTATCAGTCCCATATATCTGAAGTTTAATAAAGTAGCGGTAATTTTTTGTTTAAAAATATTAATCTAAAAACTCTTCTAAAAAATCATACTCATTAGGTATAAAGTCGCCAGCACATTTTTTTTTTGTAAAATTGCAGTCAGTCACAGTTATTGTGCTGTCACCCGTCAATTCTAAAGTTCAAAGAAAACTAAAATTTCTCACTTTCAAATTAAGGACGCTTTTGGCATAATCCAGCTAATAATAAAAATAAGTAAGCAGTTACCATGCTCAGTGCTGACAGTCTCACGATCGGTCAAATTAACATAGTTAGCGGTTCTATTGAATGCAAAAAATGCCGATCCTATCTGCTGCAAATGATGCGCGAGTAAATACTTAATAAATCAGATGCTCGACAAGCAAGGTTGTCGCAATAAAGTACGTAGTTAAAATAAAATTATTTTAATTCTTCACTCACACGAACTTTGATTTGAGCAATGGTACTTTTTTATTTAAAGGAAAATATTAGGCACTTCGCTAACTGGACTCTACAAACTTAAGTACGTAAAAACTAGCCGAAACATCTGATTCCAAGCCAAAGTAACACAATGTCGAAAAGTAGAATGTCAATTGGACACAAACGTTACAATGTGATGTGTAGTAATGTTACAAAAAAATAAAAATTACAATGCATATGTAACTTTACAAATACAAAAAAAGTAACATAAAATCAGTGTTACCAAAAATCATGGGTTGCATTTTACATTGAAACTATAATAATTGTGAAAAAAAATCAAATCAAATAAAACAGGCTAGTAATTGGATTATCGACAAGTGATTTGACAGCCCTACCCCGAGTGTCCGCAGGGCGCCAACTCGCATCTTTGACAGTCGCTCAGTTAATTTGACCATGTAAACAGCTTGTCCGGGTGATTGATGCACATACACGCCGATGCTTGTTGTTCGTATTTACACGCATCTTACACGAGAGTTGGATTTTTTAATGTGTTGGCTACAACACACTTGTCTTCTACAGTAAGTAGTGTAAAGAAAAAAGATTTGATTCGATACAATTTGAAAAAACTCATATTTCATCACGAATTTTCAACTTTCTACAAAAAAAGGTAAATGTATAAAAGTGGTACTTTGTAAAGTTCTAAAGGATCGTGAATAGTCAATTTGATTTAGTAAGCATTTTCATAATAAAACATTATGTATGAAATATGACGTATGTTAAAGGTTGCCTTTCATAATCCAATGTGTATTTGCAAGCCATAACATTGCCTTACAAATGATACTAAAATTCTAATAAGGTTTTGATGTATGGTCTGCATATATTTTGAAAGGAAAACCTGAAATTCAAAGTCCGTAATGCTTGTATGTTATCCATTTTGTTATTGATGGCGCCTTGTTAATGTATTATGAATATTGCATTTTTAATATGAGTAGACACCAGTAAATATTTAGGTTCGTCTATGTCGTACATACATTAGCATCTTACTAGTTAGTTATACTAAGTAGTTGTGCCAACTAGTTCTTTTATAACTAAGCCAGCGGCCGCCTGCGACTTCGTACGCGTGGATCCCGTTTTACCCCCTTAGGAGTGGAGTTTCGTAAAATCCCTTCTTACCTGCATGCCAAATTTCAGCCCGATCCGTCCAGTGGTTTGGGCTGTGCGTTGATAGATCACTATGTCAGTCAGTCAGTCAGTCACCTTTGAGTTATATGTATTTAGATAGGTATTTGACATTAATAAGGTGTTTATTATTTTTCCAGGTACACCATCAACGTCAACGCCCGATCATTTGTTGCCTGCCATCAAAACGCAAGGTAAATACAATTTTTATCTTTATCCATTTATGTAGTTAAGTAAAAAGTCATGGTCGATAAATCCCATTCATACTTTTTCTCGCAAATAAAATGCAAAAGGGCTTATCTCTGATCTCTGAAATGTGCTAAAATGTTTAATTTCTGCCTTTTCTAGCAGGCTTATAAATGAGTAAAAGTAAAAGCGAATCAGAACAGCATCATCTTCAGAGGACTGCAGAACCAAGTTCCGTCTCTCTTCCATGAGTTGATTGGTGAGGTCAGAGATCTTTTTGGTTCTTTTTGAACGACGGGTTTTAAAGAACTTAGACCCAGTCGTTTGGACAATTTCCACGAACCTGTCATTGTATTCGTCCACATTTCCGCAGTCTCCTAGGCATTCGAAACGATTTTGCAGTTCGAGCTGAAAGCTTTCGGGGTTTTGGAGTTGGATGGGCGCTGGGCGGAGCGTAGACTTCATCAGTCGACATCTCTCGAGCTTGGGTCTGATATTCAATGTGCCTCTTACCATTCGGTGATCGCTTCCTGTTTTCGCTTACTATGGGCCTCATAAGAAGGCTCAAGGTCACCCAAAGGGCGATGGAGCGGGCCATGCTTGGAGTTTCCCTGCGTGATCGAATCAGAAATGAGGAGATCCGCAGGAGAACCAAAGTGACCGACATAGCTCGCAGAATTGCTAAAACCAAGTGGCAGTGGGCGGGGCACATAGCTCGTAGAGACGATGGCCGTTGGGGCAGAAAAGTTCTCGAGTGGCGACCACGGGCTGGAAGACGTAGCGTGGGCAGGCCTCCTACTAGGTGGACCGACGATCTCGTAAAGGTCGCGGGAAGAGCCTGGATGCGGGCAGCGCAGGACCGTGCATTGTGGAAAACCTTGGAGGAGGCCTTTGTCCAGCAGTGGACGTCATTTGGCTGAAACGAAAAGCGAAACATTCCAACCGAAGAGCATTAGTAATTCACACGGCTTGCTTTATTTTTGCGCCATTTGCCAAAAAAGGTAAGTAGTTAAGCCAGGGGTTCCCAACCAGTGGTCCGCAGGAGTTGAAACTTGAAATGATTACATAAAAATATTTTGGTGTCTAGTCGCTACGACTGTCGTCCAGTATGCGCGGTGGCTTAAAATTCGCGAGCAATAGACTTTCACGGGTCATGAGAGGGTATAAGTAATAAGTAATATTAGTCCTAGGATTACAGAACTTGTACAGAAGAATGCAAGCTCAAAAATCTAATTATTACGAATGTTATTTTTATGCGTTTTAAATAATGCTTATTTCATATAGTTTTTGGTGTTACCTACTTTATGTACTGATTGATTATTTTAAATGGTCCCTGTGAACAATAAAGAAATCAAAGTGGTACCTACCTTAGTCTAGAAAAGGTTGGGAACCACTGACTAAGTAAATCTGCCTTGGAAGTACCTATCAATATGGATTTATCTTAGTCCACAAGAAGTAGTCGCTTGAGATGTTTTTCTAATACTGTTTTTGCATTTGTTTATTTTTGAAAAAGGAGAAACGAGATTAAATTAATAGTGGTTGATACTGAGTACTTGGGAAAAATTATAAATTTGTTTTGTAACTTTGCAATAATTACAATATTTTGTCAGGAAGTATATTTTGGCATAATATTGCTATCTGAATATTATGTTCCTTTTTAAGTCAAATGGAAGAAATACAAAAGTAAATAAAAATATGTTCCTTAAATCAATTATCCTCTTGGCTCGTTTACTTAAATTCATTCGTAGGCACCTGCATAAATTGAATAACACAAAAGTAACTAATAACCTACATTAATCAAAGTCTAGAAAACAAAATTAGTGTCTGAAACCATTACTTTTCTCAGACACCTTTAAAGAATAAATAAATGGCCAGTAGTTTTTTCGTCTCGTTTGCGTAAGTGGTTTTCTTTCGAAAAATATCGAAACCCTTTACATGTGTTAGAAAATTCTATATTTATTATTTTCCTATTAATTAAAAGAATTGTGTATAATTTTATCAAGAAAAATAGATATCTAGTTAAAAAAATAAACAAACGGAAGGAAAAAATGCTCTATTGTTATAACACACACAATCATTAGTTTTGATGATATGGATGGAACACTGCAGCCTACGTGAGAATTACTTGCACTTTACTGGTTTTTATTGAACTATTATAGTACATAGTATAATTTTTTCGATTTGTTCAACACAGGTACGCTAAGCTTTTGGTTCATTTTTGAAAACATCATGTAAGTAAATATCGGTGAATATCGATATTGATAAAATCTACGAGGGCAACACTACATCTTCGCGTGTAAATGATCTTTAAATATTTGCAGTAAAAGGAAAGAATTAATAATGGCTGTTCTTCTGTAATAAAGGTTGACTGGTACATTGCTAGGTTTGATTTATGAGTACTAATTATTATGAAATGGATTTATTATGCGTGTTTACATGACTTGTTAAGAGATGCACTGACGGCTTGTATTCGTATCAATAACTTTGAATTGATTACTCGTATTATGAATCTAAAATGTAATATTGAATTTTAGCCAATATTTGGTGCAAACATTCAAATTCAATCAATGACATGCTTGACTCTATGCTTCTATTTTAATTTTACTATCAGGTTAATTATTACCCGACTTCAAAAAAAGGAGGAGAATCTCAACTTGACTGAATGTTTTTTTATTGGAGATTCATAATATGTAAGAAAAAACTTATGTAAATATACAAGTTTCTTGATCATAATGAAGGGGTGAGTGGTTTGTCCACTCACCCCTTCATTATGATCAAGAAACTTGTCTTAACTAACAAAATGAGTTATGAGTGTTTGAAAATGTTAATCTGCTCATACCACATTTGAATCCTGAAATGTATGAATGCTTGTCAGATAACACCTTTGTTAAGGTTTGACACGTAACAAAATTGCGTGTTTTGAGCTCATTAGTCGATTTTATCATCACTCAAAACCTATGTTCATGCAAAAAAGTCGATTCTTCAGTTTTATCAGATAACACCTTTGTCCACTCACCCCTTCATTATTAATATAATAATAAAGCACGAATAAAACATCCATTTACGAGAGCAAAGATGCGGTCTTCAGCTTTTCTTACTAAGGATTAAATTAAATATTTATTTATCTACTACTGGATATTTATCTCCTCTCTCACAGCGGAATCTGGAAGTCTAGTCAACATAAGATGTATTACCGTTTAAGTAATCTTGACCTTTATTTAAAAGTGCTAAGTTGCATTCTGCGAATTACCAGGCCGATAGATGGATGGCTCTTTAATATCTTCAGCTATCTTTAAGGCACGTGCATAGTGTGTTTCAATGTTCAATTGCACTTCAGGAAATAAATACTGATGTATAATGACGTTCAATATTTCATATTATTCACTGACACAATCATATCGTTGCTGATACTTAGTTTTCTTTTCTTTTTCATTATCATCATGTCATATAATATTTACTACAGAAGCACGACTCTAATTTATTAAAATGCAAATGAAGGAATTGGGCTTCACTCCTCACGCTCCGCATGAAATAGGGAGTGTTTATTCTTTTTCATCATCATCATCATCAACAGCCCTTTACAGCCACTGCTGGACTGAGCCTCCTCCACTTTAGTGGAGGGTTTTGCCATAATCTCCACGCTTGGCAGACGGATTGGATATGTTTGTCAGAGAGCGCTGCTGCCCGTTCTCTGTTTAATATGTAGTCCCTAAGTTGCCTCTTACGACACCCGCGGGAAGAGTAGGGGTTGGTGACAAATGTATTCTACTCTGCCGTTACCACACAGCCTGGTATATTCTTTTTAGTTCATCATATTTAAAGAAAAGTTAAGAAAGAAAAAGAACATAGGGAGGTTAGTGCTACAAATAATTAGCAATTACTGAAATCCTTTAAGAACTCTACATTCTACTGCCAGTCCTTATGAATTTATTAAGAACCGTAAAATTGACATTTGACTTTCTTGACAGAAATTAAGTTGTCAGTTTTTTATTTAATATCTTTCACTTGTAATTAATTGCATTTCGATTTGCATTTATATGGCGAATAAAATTATACTAAATCATCCCGCCTTCAATCAAATTAGGCAACATAAAAGAGTCAAGGTTTTTCAAAAAGTTTAATAAAATTGATAAAAAGTTAGTTGGTTTCATATTTTTGTTCATGACTGGTATTATGTTAATTTCTTCTTAAAATATCTCAGGATATGTGAAGCCTTTTTTGTTTTATTTATTTAGATACGTTGATGATTTCAATTTATAATTTTTTCCAGTCCCAAGAAATTAAAATCAAGAGCATACGCCTGTATTCACAAACATTACTATGAGGTCTCACAGTGTGTGTGAGTACGCACAGGGTTACACACGAACCAATCACAGACCTCTATTCAACACTATGCGTCCGATTTGCTGCTGCTTAGGCAAGCATCGTTTGTGAGTACGGGCGTTAGTATCGGTCGTTTACAATCTTCAAAGTCTTATAAGAACAAATCTATCACTATCTGGGTATTTCTCATCGCTACGGTTCTCATCGTCACCTTCGTGGCAAATTTTATTTCTAACTTATTTCAACTTTTTGTAAACAAAAATTGTAGCGCTTGATGTAAAGATTGTATTCTCAGTAAATCAGTCAAATAGTGAGTCTCGTTTGGAAGCTTTAACGTTTTGAATTTTTTGATGCCACGAAAGTGATTCTGTACTTCACAGCAATATTTTTTCAAACTTTACTACTGTAAATGACTCTTAAGTGTTTATAAAACATATATTTAGTCTTATTTTCATAGATAAATAGCAATAACATACTATAAATAGGTACCTACTTAAAAACAAGATAAAATTTTACCGATAACGTCACCTACAACGTTACAAAATTCTACGCAATTGGTTTTAAGGGTGACACTGGTGGCATTCTGAAATGCTGAAGAAGCAAAAAAAGAATTATCAATACCTCAATAAAAAGAACTCTAACTGATTATCAGTCCCCCAACAAAAATATATATTTTTGTTGAGGC